TAAATTTATCTGCAATTGTGAAAGTTCAACTTATTCAATTTAATAAATGAATCATAAATTAAATATATTAAATAAAAAGTTGTTTTCTATAAGCACTAACATATTTACATCACTCAGTTATAGTCTATTGTTAAAATATGCAGATACGTTCTTAATAAATGCAACTAAATGACGCAAATAGTTTGCACCAATATTGTTTACCAATGTCTATAAATAAAAATACATTCACAAAAAAAAATTTTAAATATACTATTTGGTTATTACCTTATATCTTATCGTTCAACTTCAAATTAAATATCTTCATCAAAATTTAAAGTTTTTAATGAAATTAAAAAAAGAGGAACCTATAAACCACGAATAAAAGTAAAGTTAAATTCATACCTTCTTTTAACAGAAGACAATAAAGCTAAACTTAAAGATTTGCTAAATAGTGGTGCATCTGGTGTAGTTGAAATAGAATGAGATTTATCCAACAAAGATCAAGTTGTAAGTCGAAACCAATTTCTTCAAAAAAATAATCTTAATATTGATCATGATAATATACATTGTAAATGGTCTATTCGGTATTCAAGTAAAATATTAATTGTCAAACAATGTATATATGGAAGTTACTATGAAAAGGCAATTGCATCTGGCTCTCGAATCACAACAGCACGTTATCCCTATATAGGGTGTCTTGCATTTATTACAATTTCTCTTCATAATAATAAAATTTGTGGCATTGCAGGATACTTAGAACATTCTGAACAATGTGTAATTTCTCGACCACAACATGATCCACCATACTGACTTTTACCATATATAAGAAGCAGTATTGAAAATTTATTAAGTCTTAATGTAAAAACTTCAGATATTCTTGCTCAAAATGCAAGAATCGTAAAAAATGTGTTTGGAAATCATATCTTGATTGGAAACTCCAGAGTATTGCTTACTGCAATAGATATTACGAATATTAAGAAACAAATACTACAAAAAAGCTGGAATATAAATATTAAACATGATGTAGCAAAAAACTTGGACCATTTGCTTGGACCGAATACAGATTTATCAGAGCTCAAGGATGCGTAAGTAATAAATTTAAAAGCTGAGGCTTGATCTTCTCTTGGTAACCGTTTTTATAATCATCATATATACTATTTTTTTATTATTTTTTTTTTTATTTTTATTTTTTTTTCTTTTTTTTCGATCTTTTTTTTTTTTGCTATTTTAAATTTTAGTATACATAATTCTTATACTTACTAATCAATTTCTTCATTTATATTTGCATTAAACCAGATGCTTACATTATCAACCTCATACCAAAGATGATCATCTAGAAATTATTATTTGTACCTGTGAACAACAAGAATACGCATAGAAGTATGGTCACCAAAATCTTATTCTTGTTGATGAAACTTTCGGTATCAGCAAATACAAACTACTTTTATTTATTATTATGGTCATTGATGAGGATAACAAAGGTGTTCCTATTGCATTCATTCTTTTTACTCCATCTAAACATAATCGTCTAATATCATCTGGATATGATAGCAAGACTTTAGAACAGCTTTTTACAATCTTTCGTGATAGAATTAGTGATAATTATAATAAAAATCAACTTCTATCTACCTCAATCATATTCAAGCCCCTTGTTGCGATGACTGACACTGATGTCAAAGAGCGAAAGCCATTAGCAAAAATATGGCCAGAAATTATTTTGCTTCTTTGTTTTTTTCATATTAGTCAATGTTATAAGAATGAAATTAACAAACAATTAGATCGTGGTGGTGATAATAAGGTAATTCTGTTGCGAAAAACTGTCAAAATGTTTTTAAAAAGTACTTTAAAAGAGGCTCAGTCAATAGATTGCAATGAGCAGATGGTGCGTGAATATATTATTAAAAAATAAGAGTTATTAGAAAGTATCCAAAAAGCAGAAACCATTTTAGAAAACAAAAAAATCTTAGAAAGCAGCTTAAAATTTTTTACTTACCTAATAAAACAGTAGGCTGGTGATCTTTTGTATAGTTGGTGTCTTAATGGATGGATGAAGGCTGCAGAAGTTCTTGGAATTCCTTTAGAAAAACTTCCTACCACAAATAATCACCTTGAGAGAATGAATGAATATTTAAAAAACAATCAATTAAACCGTTTTCAAAGAAATCATCATCTTCTCAGAGCTGATATATTTTACATAGCACTTGTATATGAAGTTATACCAAATATTTTGATATTACGAAATCTTGCTAAGAACCTTGAACGTGAAAAAGAGAAATGAAGGAAAGAACTTAATATAATGAACCCATCAGACCGTAAAATTCTAATACAAGAATTTTTACAAGTGGCACATTTATCTCCAAGCACAAAGTATGATGAATCGGCTAAAAAACTACTTGAAATGGAGAAAGTAATTAAATATGAGGTTGAAGAAATAAGTGAAAAGATCTATGTCGAAGTTGAATCTGAAACTACTCCAGGGTTTGTTTATACAACATGCGTGTATGGACAGCCAACAGATATTTGCTGCCAATGTTTTGACTTTTTTCAAATGGATATTATATGTAAACACCTTCGTGCTGCAGCCCTATATCTTAATAAACTTCGTAAACAAGAGCCATATAAACATTTACCTAAAATGATTTTTTCGACTTATCAAAAAGCTCAAAATATTTATCATAGTCAATATGATAATAAGTCGAAAGTACTAGTAGGTTCTGAGAATGAAGATGATATTAGTAATAAGAGCAATGAAGACACAAATAATGAAAGCAATTACTATAACAATAATGATGATAATTGAATAACTACCTCATCTAAGGAAATTTTTAATCACAAAGAATATATTCTTGGAATCAACTCTTTTTTAGTAATGTCATCATCTGATGTGCCTGTAGTGAATGAACCAAGACTTAACAAAATCAACTTCGATATCTTAAATATAACTGCTATCTACAAACAAGAGTTTAAAGAATTCTTAGAATCTACTTTGAGAAGTCTCCAAACTTTGC